TATAAATAAGAATATATTTCAAAAGTATAAACAGCAAGATTTTATAATTTAAAAATATTAGAGAAGATGAAAATATTATATAGAAATATTTCCTAGAAGCTTTGAAGTGAATGAAAGATATATAATAAAAATTATTATAATAAGAATTAACTCATAGAAGTCTTTTGGTCAATAAAGAGAATATATTAATGAGCCTCAAGCAAGAAATCAACAAACTGTGGGGTTATTCATCTTTATGTGTATAAGACTGAGACTAGTATTAATTTTAGTTTTGGCTTCTCGACAGTAGCATCTCAATGCTATAATATAAAATGGTAGGACTATAGTCCCTGTAATAAAATTCGGAATCTCACATAGTCCTCCACTGTGACAGTAACTACCTGTGCAATATAATCAGGAAAATAGGGAACCAAATGCCAAATTAATGGAAAGCAGTATTTCTCATAGTGTGATGAAAAAGACTCCAACAATCTTTCATATGGTCTGTGAGGTTAAAATATTTTTAATAATACCAAGATGCTTTTTGACTTTTTCACTGTGTTTACATTCACACTGATAGTACAAGAGTAATGGTGGATAAAACTATAATGCCTTAGTATGAATAAAAATGGTGACACCAACTTACATTAATAGGTATAGTATTCTCGACTTACAGTTGAAAAGTGCTAATTTTACTCAAGAGTGTACTTGAGGCAGTGGCAAAACTATTATTTTTAAAACTATAACTTATAAGTATATGCCTTCTTAATAATGTGTGAGGCAAAGGGGACAATGCATAAAGTAAATTCCTGCTGCCTGCTGAGCTCAAGGAGAAATACTTAGAGGAGTACTTATGTGACTATTTAGCACGGGAGCCCAGCTAGCTTCCTGAAATAACAACTAACATTCAAACTATGGTTATGCAACTCAAGGTGTTAGGTAGAGAGTTTCTCAAAAACAAAATGAGCCTGTCATGTCAAAGGAAGTAACTAATAGTATTTGTTGTCAATATTAAAATCTGAGCGTTTAAGCAAATATTAGAATTTTGGAAAAAAATCTTATCCACTATTGTGAGTTTGACAGCTTTACAATAGTTAAAAACTTTTCTGATGAGATTGAAGGGCATATTCACAGCTAAGATTTTTTTGATATTTTATACTGATGTGTCTAGATATTTGAGGCAGCTGAATAGCTCAAAAACAATATTTTGTAAGTGATAGTACAAAATCATGCATGGGTAAAAGAACCATTCAAGATGTAAAATAGTCCCAGCCTTGTGGCTCAGGGGTTGAGTGGCGACTTAAATTTGTACGCCATAAGCATCTATACATGCAAGCGGTGGACCTTTTTTAATTAAATTCAAAATATTGTGGCAGTTAACTGCTATGAACTAGAAGATCAGTGTCTGATTCAGGTCAGGCAGGACATGCCCCTGTTGTGGGCTCGATCCCCAGTAGGGGGCGTTCAGGAGGCAGCTAATCAATGATTCTTTCACATCATTGATATTTCTATCTCTCCCTCTCCTTTCCTCTCTGAAATCAATAAAAATATATCTTAAAAAATGTAAAATAGGAAAATGGGTTTGAATTTAAGAGTGTAAAGGCTCACCGATCAAGGTTTCACATTACATATTACAACTAACCTTTAACAATCTATTATTACCAAGTTTTGGTGTAATATCAAAGAAAAGTATTTCCAATTCTCTGAAAAGCCTTCTAATAATACCCTATCATGTCCAAATATATGTGTGCGAGGCAAGATTTCTTCAACTACCACAGTGAGCAATTATTGGACAGATTGAATGCAAAAGCACATATGAGAATTCAGGTGTCTTCATTAAAAATATGTGCAAAATATGTAAAACATTACACTCTTCTATCATTTTTATGTTTGTCAAGTATAGATATTTTTATAGAAGTACACTATTCAATGTTATTTATGTTAATATGTAATGAGTTTATCTTCTTATTTTACAAGAATTAAATGATAAATATACTTAAACCCCTCAGTTTTTTAATATGATAAATACTGATGAAAATGCTATATTCTGTATATTTTTTAAAAAGCTCTTAGCAGCCAATAATAATTTTTAAGAGTGAAAAAGCCAAAATATTTCAGAATCACTGTGTAGAGTAAATCTAATGGGAATCTCAAAGTAAAAATGTGTGTGAAGAAATAATCACACAATAGAATTACAAGCTATAGGGTAAAACTTGGAACATCTGCTATTCCAGGGAAATGGCAGTGAATGGCCTACATAGTTCATACCCACAAGGCGCACACACTATACCGTGAAGGGACTCATAGAAGAACCGTCTACAAACAAATAAATAAATTCAAACAGTGATATGTCTCATAAAGAATACAAAAAAAATTATGGAAATAGAGTAATTTTATTCTGGTTGGTCCAGGAATGCCTCCATTAGGAGGTGACAGTAAAGTTTAGGTCTGCCCAGCCTTCTGAGGGAGGGGGATGGGTAGAGAAGAGGTTGCTGCAAAAGGGACTAGAGGAGGCAACTCTCTGGAGATGGGATATAATTTTAAAAAAGAAAAAAGGCCAGTGTCATTGAGCTCTTAACAAGGAGAAAGCTCAGTTTTGTCTTCTTCACAACCATATAAGCAAGGGTTATTATTCTGATTTCATAGATGAGAAGACTGAGAAATGGGGAACTTTTAAACCTTTTGCTCACTGTCATACAGACAGGAAGTTGCATAATTCAGCTTTGAAAACTATATTCTAAAAGAATTCTGTATAATATATCTTTTAGGAGAGGAGGTCCTAAGTGAAATAATGTGGTGGTATAGGTTGATGAGAGGAAAAGAGTAAATATTCAGAGAAATTTAATCGTTGCCAGTTGTACTAACTCTAACTATAAGCAAAATACCTCTTATATGTCTACAGCTCTGTTGGATTTTGTAGGGAGAGATAATATCACTAGAAGCTTTAAGTCCTAGCCAGTGGTTAAAGAACCAATATTACAAAATAAAGGTCAAATGAATGGCATTTTAAATAAAATAGGACTATATTAGAAGAGAGACCAAGAAAAGACAACATTTACAATTGCCTTGAAGATAGCTGAGATTACACAATGAATTTTTGTTTTTGTTCTTGTTTTATACTTATTCCTATAAACAAAAGTCAACTGTGTCCTGCTTTTATAAAAATAATAGAAACATGTATGTTTATCATATTATTAAATTAGCAGATGAATATATAAATTGTCAAAGAACTGCATCCTTTTCAATGGACTTACTACCTAGTGACTGCTCATAATTAACTTAGCAATAGTTAACAGATCACATAGTATTTGACAGAGAAGGTATAGAACAAAGAATCTAAGGGATAAATAATTGTTAGAAAATACTGCTAATTGTAAATCATAAAAAAATGGACATATGCTTTTTTAAAAAAAATTAGGAATAAGTAGTAAAATATAAGGACTTATGGATGTTTGATTTATATTAAAATTGCTGGGACCCATCTAATGTATGTAATGTAAGACATCAAATTTTCATTTGATTAAAAACAAAACATACAGGCAAACAAGCAAAATAAAAGCTCCCTGTCTACTACTGTATAATAGTTGCTACAAATATATTGTAAATGCATTAGTCTAGGGCAGAAGGTGGGATAGAAAGGGTCAATGGGGAACAAAGGGGGCATTTATAATACTTTCCACAATAAAGATTTTAAGGTGAATTATTTTACCTTCTGAAGTATTTCTTTAATTCTTAAATATAAACAATACCCCTCCCCCCCCACACACACACAAAATGAAGGAGCAAGTTTGATTTTACTCAAATATGTGAGGTTCTCATAGCCTTCTGTTTTTTTCCTTAGCACTTTTCATATTCATATATTCATTTAAACATTTCATCAATAGCTCCTCTATCCTATATAATAAAAGGGTAATATGCAAATCGACCCAACAGCCAAATGACCAGTCGCTATGATGTGCACTGACCACGAGGGGACAGATGCTCAATGCAGGAGCTGCCCCCTAGTGGTTAGTGTGCTCCCACAGGGGGAGTGCTGCTCAACTACAAACTGGGTTGAAGACTGGCGACTGCAGCAGTGGTGGCGGGAGCCTCTCCCACCTCCGTGGCAGTGCTAAGGATGTCTGACTGTGGGGAGCGGGCCAAAGCCATCAGTTGGACATCCCCTGAGGGCTCCTGGACTGCTAAAGGGTGCAGACCAGGCTGAGGGATCCCCCTCACCCCCTGAATGCATGAATGTTGTGCACTGGGCCTCTAGTTACATTATAAATTCCTTAACAACTGGCACTGTGTGACTGTTTATTCACATTGGACCAGAGTGCACAGAAAGATTTCAGTACTTCAAAAAATTTTGGTAGAATAAATTAATATGTTTTTAGGCTTTTAGGCTATCCTGTGACCAAGCCCCATGCCCCACCCTGCCATCCTACCTAACCTGTGAGAACATATAACAATGCACTATAAAGCTCCAAAAATGATCCTTTTTTCTTAACTGTAAGGGAGTTTTTGTTTTTTTTTAAAAAAATATATATACTAATGTTTTAATGCCTAATACTGAGTCAACTATACTAGCTCTTCCCCCCAACATAGGTAGAGATTTCTATAACCAGAGAAGGTCATCTGAAAAGAATGTGTCACTAAGATGGACATTCAAGCACAAGGACAACTTTTTGAGAGAGATATAGTAGCAGAAAAATACATTTTAGCACTCTGAGCAATATACCGCCTGCATGACTATCAGTGTGCTTGTACTTAAATACTGAGAGATGATGTTTTCTAATCCAATTCACTGATCTTTTTTTGGTAGATATGATGTTTCTTATCAGTATAAAGAAGAAACTGATTATAAATAAATGTTCCAACTTAATTGGGATAGAGCTTACAAATTCTATAGTCTGCAAGAAAGTAAATTAGAATGTGGAAGTGTGAAGAAAAACCAAATGATTAGATTACTTCAAATGGAAATCTTATCTTTGATGTGGTTATTTGAACAATTATTTGAAAATTCATTAGTGGTATTTTACCTGCAGTTATCGATGTGAATTTTTTTCACTGCCTTGGATGGAAGAAAGATCCCCAGTTATTGATTTCTACAACCTCTATGCAGCCAGTAAAATTCTCAAATGATCCAGGAACCTAGGAAAGAGAGAGGGGGACTTACATTATTTTCTTCATGTTGCAAACTGGTCAGAGTGTACAATCAGATTTTAGGACTGATTTCATCTATTCAATATATTGGTAGAAAGTAATTGAACTCTTTTCATAAATTATCCCAAAATGGTAGGAAAAAATACCACCTTATTCAAAAGTTATGTGGAGTCCATAATCTTATTGTATGAAATTCACTGTCATTTGTATTTGAATACGGAAAATGTGTTCATTAATACAGTTGATTACATTGAAAAACAGGAGAAAGCTGATACACTTTTCCATCTTTTGCCTTTGTTCCTTGCACTTTTCCTTTCAGCCATTAGTACCTTGTTCCATCCACAGCTATAGACACATCAAGAAAAACTGCTCCTTCTGGGGTCAAAGAAAACAGAGCAAGCTACAAATACTCGTGACATCTTATAGCCCTGATGCAGCCTATCTTTCGGACTGAGTTGCATGGCCTGAATAATCTGGGCAAAACATGTATCTAGAAAGATCATCAAAGGGCCAAGAGCAAAAAAGAGAACATAAGGAATTGGAAAGCACTTGTTTTAAGGAACAAATATAACCTCTTAAAGATAAGCATAAATATGACTTTTTGTTCTATTCACCATGAACATATTATACTACACCAGTAATTTTATGTCTCTATAAATTTACATTTATGTGAAAATGAGATATTAAAAAAACTAGAAAGAGGCACATCTCAAAATTCAATAGTTAGAAGTGAGCATTTATTTCAAGTTGTTTTCTGTTATGCTCTCAATATTATTAAAGAATTTATGCTAAGATAGACTGAGTTATGACCAGGGCAATCATTGGATTTATATACTGAAAAATACATTGATTTCTGAATTAAAAATATTTACTATTTGCATTCTTAAGACTTGGTTTCTTATTGAGTGTAATATTGTAAATAAATAAATGATAGAATAAGACCTTAACTTTGTTTAGAAATTTTGGGGTGAATATATTTTATTCCATCTTTTCACTTATAGTCTTAGTTTAAAAACTTTTAAACCTTTTCTTCTTTTCCCCTATGAGGCTAAAATGTACTGCAAACCCTTTTGGCAAGTAACACTCTGTCAAGTGTCAAAGATGACTGAACTAGAAAATAAAACAATATTTCACATAGTAAGTTTACCAAGAAGTCATTCGATTCCAAGGAAAAATAAAAACATTTGGCTCTTAGATGCTGCAGAGGGAAAGTATCGATTTGTAATTGTTAGTTTAAAGTTTTTATGAGCTTCCTTAATCATATAGTTTATCACATTTATTTTATTACAGAAGGGGGTTGAGGTTTGGGTAAAAAGTTTAAAGGATTAAGCAAAGAAAAACACAACAACAACACGTAGACACAGACAACAGTATAGTGATTACCAGAGGGAAAAGGGGGTGGTGTGAGGTAGAAGAGGGCATAAGGGGGATAAATAGTGATGGCGGGAGACTTGATTTGGGGTGGTGAAGACACAATACAATATACAAATGATCTACTATAGAATTGTACACCTGAAACCTATATAATTTTATTAACCAATGTCACCCCAATAAATTCAATAAAAAAACCATACGCCTAAATTTTACATTTTAAAGTAAAGTTTACATATACCTCTCCTGAAACCTCACAAACATGTTAATTAGTAAAGCTTAAAATTTTTAAATTAAACAAAAATAAAAATGGTTTTAGAAAAATACTTTTGATTGCAATGATTGTGAATGTTAGAACTTGTGAATATGTAATCAAATCAGCAATTTGGAATATGAGGAAGCAAAAAACACCCGATCAGAAGAGCAAAAACGAAAAGAATCCAAAAATATGAAGATATTGTAAGGAGTCTCTGGGACAACTTCAAATGTACCAACATTCGCATTGTGGGGGTGCCAGAAGAAGAGACAGAGCAAGTTATTGAAAACCTGTTTGAAGAAATAATGGCAGAAAACGTTCCCTACCTGGTGAAAGAAATAGACTTATAAGTCTAGGAAGCACAGAGTTCCAAATAAGATGAACCCAAAGAGGCCTACAACAAGACATATCATAGTCAAAATGCCAAAGGTTAAAGGCAAAGAGAGAATCTTAAAAGCAGCAAGAGAAAAAAATGGTAATAAATTATCTAACCCTACAACTTAAAGAATTAGAAAGAGAGCAACAAGAAAATACCAGAGTGAGCAGAAGGAAGGAAATAATAAAGATCAGAGTGGGAATAAATGACATAGAGACAAAACAAACAAACAAACAAAAAAAACATTACAAAGACCAATGAAACCAAGAGCTGGTTCTTTGAAAGGATAAATAAGACTGATGAACCTCTAGTCAAGCTAACCAAGAAGAAAAGAAAGAGGACCCATATAAAGAAAATCATATTTGTAAGAGGCAAAATAACAACAGAACCCACAGAAATACAAAGAATCATAAAAAAAATACTATGAGCAACTCCATTCCAATAAAGTGGTCAACCTAGAAGAAATGGACATATTCCTAGAAAAATACGACCTTCCAAAACTCAATCAGGGACAATAAAAAAAATCTGAATAGGCTGATAACTATGGAGGAAATTGAAGCAGTAACCAGAAAACTTCCAACAAATAAAAGCCCTGGTCCAGATGGCTTCAGAGGGGAGTTTTACCAAATATTCAAAGAAGAAATAAAACCTATCCTCCTCAGACTATTCCAAAAAATTCAAGAGTAAGGAACACCTCTGAGCTCTTTCTACAAAACCAGCATTAACCTAATCCCAAACCAGATAAAGACAATTCAAAGAAAGAGAATTATAGGCCAATATCCCTCATGAACATAGATCCCAAAATTTTCAACAAAATTCTAGCAAATCAGATTCAGCATTACGTTAGAAAGATTATATACGGTGACCAAGTGGGATTTATTCCGGGCATGGAAGGATGGTACAATATCTGCAAATCAACAACCGTGATACACCATATAAACAAATTGAGAGATAAAAAACATATAATCATATCAACTTTTGCAGAAAAAGCATTTGACAAAATCTAACACCCTTTCTTGATAAAAAAAAACAAAAAACAAAAAAACAAAAATAAACAACTCTCAGCAAGATGGGAATAGAAGGATCATACCACAACATAATAAAAGCCATATATGACAAACCTACAACCCACATCATACTTAATGGGCAACAACTAGAACCATTTGCCCTAAGAGCAGGAATAAGACAGGATGCCACTTTCACCACTCCTGTTTGACATAGTCCTGGAAGTACTAGTCATAGTGATCAGACAAGAAGAAGAAGTAAAAGGCATCCAAATTGGAAAAGAAGAAGTAAAATTGTCATTATTTGCAGATGACATGATATTGTACATAGAAAACCCTAAAGACTCCATCAAAATACTACTAGAATTAATAAATGAATTTGGCAATGTAGTAGGATACAAAATTAACACCCAGAAATCTATGGCTTTTTTATACACCAATAATGAACTCACAGAAAGAGAAACTAAAATAAAATCAAATCCCATTTACCATTGTAACAAAAAATTAAGATACCTAAGAATAACTTTAACCAAGGAAGTAAAGGACCTGTACTCAGAAAATTACAGGATACTGAAAAAAGATATAGAGGAAGACATAAACAAATGGAAGAATATACCATGTTCATGGATTGGTAGAATCAACATCATTAACATATACATACTACCCAAAGCAATCTAAAATTCAAAACAATTTCTATTAAAATATCAATGGCATACTTCAAAGACAATACTCCAAAAATTCATCTGGAATAAAAAAGACCAAGAATAGCTGCAGCAATCATGAGAAAGAAGAACAAAGGTGGAGGGCTCATAATACCAGATATCAAGCTGTATTACAAAGCCACTGTTCTCAAAACTGCCTGGTACTGGCACAAGAACACACATATAGAGCAATGGAACATAACAGAGAACCCAGAAATCGACCCAAGCCATTATGCTCAATTAATATTCAACAAAGGAGGCAAGAGCATACAATGGAGTCAAAATAGTCTCTTCAATAATCAGTGTTGGGAAAATTGAACAGATACGTGAAAAAAAAAAATGAAACCAGACTGCCAACTTATACCACACCCAAAAATAAAATTGATAAAAGACTTAAAAGTAAGATGGGAAACCATAAAAGTCTTAGAAGAAGCCATAGACAGCAAAATAGCAGATATTTGTCATAGCAATGTCTTTACCGATACAGCTCCTAGGGCAATGGAAACTAAGGAGAAAATAAACAAATGGAACTACATCAAAATAAAAAGCTTCTTCACAGCAAAAGAAACCATCAGCAAAACAATAGGAAAGCCCACTGCATAGGAGAACATATTTGCCAATGTTATCTCTGATAAGGATTTAATCTCCAACATTTACAGGGGACTCATACAACTTAACAAAAGGAAGATAAACAATCCAATCAAAAAATGGGCAAAGGACCTAAATAGACACTTTTCGAAAGAGGACATTCAGAAAGCCAAGAGACATATGAAACATGCTCAAAGTCACTAATCATCCGAGAGATGCAAATCAAAACAACAATGAGGAACCATCTCACATCTGTTAGAATGGGTATCATCAACAAATCAACAAATGACAAGTACTGGTGAGGATGCGGAGAAAGAGGAACCCTCATGCACTGCTGGTGGGAATGCAGACTGCTGCAGCCACTGTGGAGAACAGTATGGAGTTTCCTCAAAAAACTAAAAATGGAACTCCCATTTGACCCAGTGATCCCACTTCTAGGAATATATCCCAAGAAACCAGAAACACCAACCAGAAAGGATATGTGCACCCCTATGTTCATAGCAGCACAACTTATAATAGCTGATATTTTGAAACAGCCTAAGTGCCCATCAGTAGATGAGTGGATTATAAAACAGTGGTATATCTACACAATGGAATACTATGCTGCTGTAAAAAAGAAGGAATTCTTACCATTTGCAACAGCATGGATGAACCTGGAGATCATTATGCTAAGCAAAATAAAGCCAGTCAGA